GGTGGGTGGTCGTCTGCCTCGACGTTATTGAAGTCTGCACATAAGACATTATTGCTTGCTCAGATCTTAGGACATAGGTGATTCTGGAGCATTAGAAATGACATGAATAATAATGAGTGAATAATGCCATGTAATGAACATGTCAGTGTCTGGTTTTGTGTTTGGGAGCCACTCCTTTTTGAAGATTGTACCTCTTTCAGCTTGTTTTTCCAACAACTATAGAAAAGTGGAGGAGGAGGACAAGGAGGGAGCTCCAGCTGGTGTATGATTTCACTCCCCTCCCCCTGCCACTCAAATCATCCCCAATGCAAAAATATCCATCTTTATACCTTGGTCTGGGTGAATATTCGATTCTGGGTGCCCACTAATGACTGAAATAAGACCCCAACAAGTAGTTAAAGTGAAACCCTTTTAAATTAATGCACAGGCTATATCTAAAATGAATAACTATAGCAATGCAGATTCAGTCAAAGCCTTTACAATTTCTTGCAACATTAATGAACCAAATCGAAGATGAAAGAGATGAGATCAACACAAAATACAAAACAACAAAGTGGGCAGTAATTACACTACTGTCACTGGCATCAGCTGGCTGCGGACACCTTGACATTAGAATTAAATTAAATCAAAAACACTAAATCTGAATATCTTGTTTACAACACTGCGTGTAATCCTTCAGTGGCTCATCCTCTGAACACCACAGGATGGACACACATCCTACACTGCCCCTCTGAACTCACTGATACTTCAGTAACCCTTCTTATTAAGATAAGCAATCCTTCCACACCCGATCTGCTATTCAACTTGCTACTTCAGGCCACAGCCGACAGTACACATGGCTTATGATTTGTTCATAAAAATTGCTTTGGGAACAATGACATGACTGGATCAAATTATATTTACTGATTGTCAGTGGTACGCAGTGTTGCTTAAATTTGATTCTTGCAAGTATAGCATTAACTTTCTAGCTGGTAGCATAATGTTAGTGCTCTGATTCATAGCTTAGTCAAAGGGTTCTGTGAGTGGAGGAAACTAGAAATTCAAGTGTAATTCAATGATTGTTGGAGAAATGCTGCATATGAGTATAACTTCAATTAACTTAATTTACCCAAGTTACCTTAACAATAAATATTTAAGTTCCTTGTACTCAAATAATTTTTTTTTTTATGCTTTAATTGATTTAATACATTTAAACGATTTAAAGCAATCTGTTTCCTCAAATAGTTAGTTAGTAAGCAGGATAATGGCCTTCCACTTTACATCTGACGGTTCTGGCACATCGTCTATTAATTCCTAATAATGAACTTCTCGTCAGGTATTATGCCTTACTTATATGTCATGTGATTTAGTAATAAGTCCTTTAAGGCACATTTTCTAAAAACAAGCAAAGAGGGAAAATAAATACGCAATATGATCAAAAATGTTATTAGAATAGGGTGATGTTCTTAACACTAGTGCAGCGACTGAATTAATTTAAATTGAGGTTCAATGTGAGAAAATGTAACAGATTTAAGAGTTTACAAGAAATAACAGTTTTGGTAAATGGTACTTTTGTATAGATAGATAGATATACTTTATTGATCCCAAGCTGGGAAATTACAGATTGTATAGCGCCTTTCTAGTCTTCCTACCACTTAAGGCGCTTTTACAGAGTGCCTTTCACACACATTCACACAGTGATCGAACAGAACTCATTCACGCACATTCCGGGGATCGAACCAACAACTTTCTGATTAGTGGACGACCTGCTCTACCTCTGAGCAACAGCCGCCCAAGTTTTGAAGTCAAAGATGTCTGTGTATTGTGTTTTAGAGATATCTACTTAAGTTAGCATGATAACCAGCTTGCTTTGGCCCTTCCTATCTTGGTAGTATAGCTCAGCAGTTGTGTGATATGCTGCCCCATACGTTTTTGGAATACTATGAACTGGTGGATGAGTAGTCTTAATTCTTACACACCTTTAAACGTTCAATGTATAACATTTAGAAACACGATTCTTTTTTTAAGGTGATTATACATTGACAATAGATCCCCCTAAATGTTACACACTGGACCTTTATAGCACATAGTGTTTGAACCACAAGAAACACAAAATGCAAAAAAAAAGGCACATTACGTGATAAATGTAAGTTCACTCAATCTCGGAGAGAAGACCAACTGGCAGTGTGTTTGAGGAAGGATCTTTGTTGAGTGAAAAGAAGATTTTTCTCCTCCAGTTTGTGTCATTCATCTTTATCTGACAGCATCTGAGAGCCTGGATGATTAATACAAGATAGTTCCAAGCAGATGTTTTTTTCCAGTCATTCAAGTTTGCATTAAGCAAGTTTCAAGATTATGCTACAGAAGTTTCATATTATACACTGTTCAATTCAATTCAATTCAATTCAATTTTAGAGCAGGTCTAGACCGAACTCCTTATAACA